CAAAAATCGTAAGAACCAAGTCATCTCAAGACATCAATAATTTGTAGTTAGTACACAAATAATTTCAGTACCGTTTAAAATGAAATATATAATTTAAACTAAATAAATATGAATCTATCAAATATTGATCAACTATTAAAATTTTATAATATTAAATCAAATTATGTAGATTCTATAGCTAACATCACATTACTTGATGATACCTTCTCTATTTTTCAAATCAATATTAGTAGAATTAGTGCTCATTTTAATGATCTGACTATTTTATTAAGTTCAGTGAAAAATTATTTTAATATTATTATGCTGTGTGAAACATGGCTTTTATATGATTACGAATTTAAATTAAATGGTTACAAAACTATAAATTCGTTAGGAACTTTAAATAAGAGTGATGGTGTTACTGTCTTAATTAGAGTCTTTAATATATTAAAAATTGAAAAACAGGTCTTATTAAATTGTAATTTAATACAACTCATAATTAAAATAAATGAATTAATATTTTCACTAATATGCATATATAGATCGCCAAATGATAACTTGGAATCTTTTCTTACAGGCATAGACCTTTTCTTATCACAAATAAATAAACAACATATGAGTATTATTAGTGGAGATATCAATATTAATCTCGATATTAATATAATGAAAAATACAAATATTAGTAATGATTATTTAAATATTATGTCGAGAAATGGATTTTTACCTTGTATAAATAATTTCACTAGAGTGACTAATCACTCGAAAACTTGCATTGATCATATTTTCATTAACAACATAGATTCTAATAAAATTAATTCATATATTTTAAGGTGCGATATAACAGATCACTATGCTACAATTTTGACATTATCCAATATTAATAACAACGAAACTTACAATCATCATAACAATTTTTCAAATAAAATATACTTTAATCATCTAAATTATTTATTAATTCAAACTGAAGATTGGTATACTCATTTCAACAGTGACAATGTAGATATTATGGTTGAAGTTTTCAATACTAAAATAAATGAATTTATAAAATACCTTTGATATATCTAAAAATAATAATTACAAATCAAATAAAATGCGAAAATTAAAAGAATGGATTACAACTGGTATCGTTATCTCTATTAGAAATAGAGAAAAATTATCTGCTAAAATAAGATCTAGGCCTTTTGATATTAAATTAAAGCGATACTATAAATTATATAGAAATATATTAAATAAAATTGTACGACAATCTAAACAATTATTTTATCAAAATAAATTAGAACAAGCTCGGTCTGATTCTAAATTAGTTTGGAATATAATAAATGAGGTCATTGGAAAACCGAGTCAGATTAAGAATAATATCAACACGATAAGGAATAAAGTTGGTATTACTATAAACCAAACAACTGAGATATGTAATGAACTTAATGATTTTTTTGTCAATGTAGGAAAAAATTTAGAAGTAGAACAATTAAATCAATATAAATTATTTCCTAATGAGCATAACAATATTATTAATGATAGTATTTTAAAACCTATTGATAAAGGCGAAATTAGTATACTCCTTAATAAAATTAAAAATTATAATTCATATTTTGAAAATGATCTAACGAATTATATACTCAAAAATGTTTCAAATTCTATTTCTTTTCCCTTATCAATTAGCTTCAATAAATCTTTAACAACTGGTATCTACCCTAAAACATTTAAAAAATGTGTTGTGATACCTTTATTCAAATCGGGTGATAAATTATTATGCAGTAATTACCGACCAATCTCATTATCTTTAACCTTATCAAAAGTCCTTGAGAAATGTATTTAATTAAGAGTAATTGACTTCTCAGAAAAAAATCTCTTTTTTTTTGCAAAAATGCAATTTGGTTTTAGATCTGGTTTATCAACTAACGATGCTCTGTACAAAGTTGATAATGTTGTTAGAAGTAACTTGGATAAAAGCAATAAAGTTATATGTATTTTTTGGATGTTCAAAAAGCTTTTGATTGTGTAAACCTGTAATGTCTTTGGAAATATGGAATTCTTCCAGGATATATTTTGTATTGTTAGGTTATATTATTCAATAAAGATTCATTCGTTGTTTTGCAATTATGCGTTCAAGTTGTGCTCTGTACCTCTCAAAAACATAACAATGGCGACGAAGTAGAGTATGGAAACCACGTGCCAAAATGAAATATAATTTGTTTTAAGTGCGTAATATTAATTTAAAACGCTTAGTGTTTAAAATAAAAAGTGTTATAATGAGTAGTTCAAACATTAACGGTGCAACTACGCGGGCTTCTAGCGGTAGTGGTAATGGTAACATTAGCAAAGGGCAAATTAATGGCACCATTTCCGAATTTAATTTGAAAGTTGACGACTTCAGTTCGTGGATTGAACGCTTTGAATTGTATGTATTATTAAATGAAATTAATTCTCATAAAAAGAAATTAATGTTCTTAACACTTTTGGGCAATGACGGTTATGTATTAGTCAGTTATCTTTGTACTCCATTTAAGCCAGTTGATAAAAGTTATGACACACTAAAAGAAATGTTATCTAATTATATTAATCCTAAACCTAATGTTCTAACTGAACGTTACAAGTTTAAGGAGAGAAAACAAGGTTCAGAAGAAACTATAAGTCAATTTGTGACTGCATTAAAAAAACTTTCACAGTATTGCGAATTTGGTAGTAATTTGGATGATTCATTGAGAGATCAAGTTGTTTACGGTATCAGGGATAACAACATAAAAAAACGTTTAATGTCTGAACCGGAGTTAACGTTTAGAAAAAGTGTTACACTTTGTTTGTCAATGGAAGCAGCGAACAATGATGTGTCTCATTGGGAAAAACAGGAATTGAATTATCAGCGAGGAATGAAGTTTAAGCAAAACAGACAACCATGGGGACAAGGGAAGTCAAAGAAAGCACACAGATCAGATTCAATACCAAATAGGTAATCAAAAGGATTCAACGAACAATTCAAGTCATGGCCGTAAAACTGTTTGTTTTTGTTGTGGCAAAGCAGGTCATACAAAACCATTTTGTAGGTAAGTATAAGCATTTAACATGTACTAAATGTTCTAAAGTAGGTCATTTAATTAAAGTTTGTAAAGCTAAAAGTAAAGCTGGTAATGTTAATATACTAGAAGAGTCTAATATTTTAAATAATTTTGAAGATTTGCATATTGATAATTTGTTTTCATTAGAGACTGTTGATGTTAATTTTATTAAACCATTTAATATCAAGTTAGATGTAAGTGGAATTATTATTAAGTTTCAAATTGACACTGGATCTTCAATTACAGCTTTGTCTTATAGTGATGCATGTAGAGTGAATCTTAAATTGAAAAATATTCAAAAAAGTGATATAAGTTTAAGAGGTTATACTGGTACTTTAATTATTCCAATGGGTTATTTAAAAGTGAGTGTGAAATTTCATGGAAAAATTGAAGTGTTGAATTTGTATATAATTAAAGAAGGTGGTCCTCCTATTGTCGGTAGAGATTGGATTGAGAATTTATCATTACCTATTAAAGGGGAAGTTTATTCACTTTCATCAAAAACAGAAATAAATATTTTTGAAGATTTTCNAAGTTATATGTATTTTTTGGATGTTCAAAAAGCTTTTGATTGTGTAAACCTGTAATGTCTTTGGAAATATGGAATTCTTCCAGGATATATTTTGTATTGTTAGGTTATATTATTCAATAAAGATTCATTCGTTGTTTTGCAATTATGCGTTCAAGTTGTGCTCTGTACCTCTCAAAAACATAACAAAACCATGAACTACTACTAAAAAAATTAGAAAATTCTGGAATACGTGGAGTATCAAATAATCTATTTAAATTTTTTCTGAATGGTAGGACTCATAGAGTTAAATGTTATGAATATTCTAGTGAAGATCTAAATATGACTTGTGGTGTACCTCAAGGCACTGTTCTAGGTCCCTTATTATTTATTATATTTATAAACGATCTACTAAAACTGAAAATAAATCATAATGTAGAATTATTAGGCTTCGCTGATGATACAGCTATTCTGTTATCAGAACTAACTGTTGATAAACTATACAATGAAGCAAATAAAATTTTTAATACTGTTTATGCTTGGTTCTATAAAAATAAATTAAAATTAAATCTTATTAAATCAAAATATATTTGTTTTATGCAGCAACCATCAAAATACATTAATACACAATAACTTAATAGTACATTCTTTAAAATGTAATAAAACTACAAATACAGTTTGTGATCCTAAATGTATTATACTAGAAAAAGTACAGGAAATAAAATATTTAGGGATAATTAATAATTATTGACTGTATAGATTTAAATGGGAAAGTCATATAAATTATTTAAATAACATGCTACGTAAATTCTTCTATTTCTTCAAAGATGCAAGGTATGTATTTAATAAATACTATAAAAGAATAATTTTCTTATCACTAGTACAATCAATTTATACTTACGGTATATCCATTTGGGGTGGAGCTTCAAAATATATTTTAACAAAACTTATTGTCACTTTAAATTGTATTATAAAATTCTTACTAAATTTACCAATGTTCACTATTGATTTATAATGAATTTAATGTAAAAAATCTTAATTTTAACTATAACTTATCGGTTCTAGTTGACGTATATAAAAATACAAATTTAATTCCTACATTAGATCATGAGCACAACACTAGATATAAGCAAAATAAATAATATACTTGTACCAAATCTTAACAAAGTATTTGGTCAAAGAAGCATTTTATATACGGGTTTATATTTATGCTGTTCACTAAATATCAATATAAAAAATTATAAAGTTGTTAAACATTTCAAAAAATATATAAAACAATTAAATTTATCAAATTTGTAAATTTTATTTCTTTTAAAAATTACCAGTTATTTATGTAAAATATTATTATTATTATTATTGTAAATTTATAATATTTATTTTCCTCTCTTCGTACTTATGTTTTAATTATCAATTATCAATTATGTTAACATTATTATATATTTATAATAATCTTATTCTACTAATTAATTAGTAATCAAAAAAAAAAAAAAACATTGTTTATATTTATTTAATCTATAAGAACTGCGCCCCCAGCACAAGCTTTGCTTAAAGGGGGTACTGCAATATATTAATCTAAATTTTTGTAAAATATAATATTCTCTTAAACAGTTAAATATAAGATGCCAAAATACTATATGAAGGAAGAAAAACAAACGTACTGACATATTATGCGGAAACAAAATAGGCTCCGTAAAGTCAGCCGCCTAACGTGAATATTTTGGTACCAAATTTTTTCAAAAATTTGTAAGTTATTTGTAAGTTCATGTAAGCACAAATAAGGAATTTGTAAGTTCAGCTGTTTATAATCATTCACAAAAGCTTAAATCACGGCTCACTTCTGCGAAACTTTGCAGCTTTATCATTTCAAAATTTTCAACCGAGGCCAAATGTCCTGCCCAATTTGTCAGTATTTGTAAGCAAATATTTGTTGAAAAAGCTGTATAAAGTTTGAGCTACTTATTTTTAGGGATAATTAAGGGACTTGAAAGTTTTAAATTCTTGATTATAAATACTTACAAATTGGGCTATACATTTTGGCTCTCTCGAAAACTTTGAAATGATAAAACGGCCAAGTTTTGCAGAAGTTAGCCGTGATTTAAGCTTTTGTGGATGATTGAAAACGGCTGAACTAACAAATTTCTAATTACTTGCTACGTATTTACACAAACTTACAAATAACTTACAAATTTTTGACAAAATTTGGTACAAAAATATTCACGTTAGGCATCTAACTTCACCGACCATCAAAATATCACAACATCCAAAACCAACTGACAATAATTAAAACATATTATAAAACTGATGAAGTCACAATATCAAATATTTCATTCAACATTTTCTTCATCGCTAATCATATAACTCACAAATATTATGTACAGCAGAAACACATAACTCACACTCGCACAAAAATACATAATTCTTTTAAGTAATTAACATCAAAATACCAAAATATTGTACAAAGAAAGGATAACAATATCACCTACATATTATAATGTAATCAAAATAATACTTCATTAAAAACAACATACAATAATTACTAAGTATAATAAAACAAATTAAGTTAAAATATCAAATATTTTATTCTCCATTACACAAATCATGTACAATTCCTAAATATTATGCTCAGTAAAATATATAAATTCTTCGCTTCGCCCAGAATCTAAAACCATTAAATTTTGAAATTACAGGACTTACAAAATTGTTCATGATGTACAAATTAAACATTGTTGCTGTAGACTTTGAATTCACTACAATGGAACAAACAAGTTTAGTACTCATTTCTGGCAAAATATCAAACGTGTATAAAGAAATCCCAATAATAAAACTAAAATTCTCACTACAACTACTATTAACAAAACACTATACTAAAAATAAAATAATCCCAAATCGATCTTGTCATTGGAATTATACTAAAAATATTTAAGGTAAAACATCACAAAGCCACTCCAACTATTAATGAATTCAATGAGAGCTTTCTAATAAAAAAGGCGATTTGGACAACAATTTTATTTAAAACTACTGCCCATATAAAAACTAGACACCTATCATTATCACGTGAAATAGACGTACATACATGATAACGGAAATATTGAAACAACTAAATAAACAATGTAACACACTCATCCTAAGAAGTTACAATTTATCTTATACAATGATGCGATCTTGTATTCGCAAATAATAAACCTAAAAAACGAACTTTAGCACAAACAGAACTAGGAGAGATCACAAAAAGAGGGAGATTGCTGTATCTTATAGAAACCCACAATATAACCCACGAGCTCACCCACAACAATACATACTCGCTCAACCCTGTCACAGACATACATTACACAAAATTCATATTTTACTATTTAACCAACATAACCGAAATACCAATTAAAAATTAAATAAGTAACCAATAAAATACATTTAAAATCACTCTTAATCATACTTTCCATGCCCTACTTAATTCATAAAATAATAAAATAAAATTAATATTCTTAAAAATAATTTTCTTCTTTCTTCTTTTTTCAGTACCAATAAAATGTGTGCAAACAGGAAACTAGCAATTTGAATTCATCACTTTTGGCACAAAACTAAGCTTTAACTCCAATTGCCCTGAAACAGTATAATATACAAACTTAGTAATAAAATCTGATACACTAAAGAAACTAACAATAATCAACTTAAGCATTAATAAGCTAAATGTATCGAAATGCATACAACTAAGAACACAAACTGCACCTATAATAATATCACTGAATTGACTTAATGTAAACCTAAAATCTCTAGATTGTGCAAATAATAAAATAACAGATTTCACCATAACAGATAACTAAATTCAGCTAATATATTTTAATGATAAATTAACAACTCTGATATTAGGTTGTAATATAATTGAAACATACTGTGAATTAAATTCACTAAAAACATTACACTTAAACATAAATTTAAAAGTATTGAATTGAAGCGAAAATTAATTAATGAACTTCAATTTAAAAAAAAATTATTAATATTATTCTGCAAGCAAAATCTATTAATAAGACTTTAACTAAACTCAAATTTATATGAACTAGATTGTGGCAACAACTTAATAGTGTAGTGATTCCGCTTACAGATGCTGAATGTACAAGGGTGATGGACGACAATGTGTAATAATTCAAGTAAATTTTATATTTATTAACAGAACTTTATTATGGATGTAAAAACTGTTTAAATATTTTGTGTAATTGAAATGATTTTAGTCTGCTGGAGTGAAGGTGCTTGTACTCGCTCTGACAAATCACGTCTAAATATCAGGTGGCTGGGTCCCTTTTTTATAGGCACAATCTCCACTACTCCTCTCTTATCGACAAGATAGTGTTAACTTCGTTAGGTGTGCTTACAAAGTCCAGGATATGCCATGGCCCCATGCTCGTATGGTTGAAATTGCAAATCTCATGTCGTTTGGTCATTGATGTAGTTTTTACTGTTATAATATTTTAATAACATAGCTATAATTATAATTTATTGTCTTTCAAACTGGTCAATATCTATCTATTATTGATTAATTATTACAGTCTTATGTGAGCGTTTATATTATCAATTATAATTTAGACTATTCTACTCGTATGTATTCCGCTACACAATTTCCTTTGTAAAATTCTCAGAACTACTATATTATTAACTATTTTATTGTTAGCTTAGCCTTCCCCGAAATTAATAACATTGGGTATTCTAATAAGCATATTTCGACAATCTGTATATGACGTTCTTATGCCTATCTCAAGTATATATGTACATGGCGGGACGTCAGTACATAGCAATAGAAACAATAAACATCAAAAACACTTTAGCTGAAGTATCATGCAAACATAATAAAATAATACCTTAAATCATTTCTTTCCACAAAAAAAATACTATCAAAAACAGACTGTGAAGTGATACTAACACCTCAAACATCATTATTACAAAAATTCACACCTACCTCAAATGAAGAAGAAACATGTCCCATTCGTCTTGATTCCAGAGGACAATTAATAACAACTGATTGTATTCACAAATTACATCTAAATTGCATTACTTTTATTAGAAATGACAAGTTCCTTTGTTGCAGACAATCTATAGAACAACTGAAGAATGAACGGTACAAGCTAGAATAAATAAACTATCATTAACTCAATAATCAATAGCCGAAAAACAAACCGATACTATCAAACCTCTAGTATACATTACTTTAACGAAATACATATTCAAGTATTCGTATTCAATATAAATATTATTTCTTGAAACACAACAGGCAATCAACAGTATTTTACAAACCTTAAACAAATGGCACAAAATAATAACAATACCTGCAATAATTATTGTACAATAAATTTTATCTTACCAAACATACTTCACGCCATTAACAGATTCAAACATTGTTCATTACATCGAACAATTAACATTTTCGCTTTTATTATTATTTCATTGTCCAATTATCCATAATACAGAAAACACAACGTAATACAATATCATTTCCAGAGGATTCTTTCAGAAGCCTCCGATAAGACGCATTATCACTGCATGTTTCACCCTACCAATCATGTGGTCGCCGGGGATGCGCGGTTATCACAAATCGGTGTCCCTCCAAAATCGCCATCGCGTATTGTGTCGAGTACTACAACTAATGTTGTATCGTTTTGTTATTTTGTACCAATTATTTATTATCATTTTTTGTATTGCATTGTACTTTTATCTGTACCGTGTTACACTTGTCGTTAAGTCTATAAATATTTTTTTTCGAGCCATCGGCTACGACGCGCGACGCCAACGAACTTCGTTCTCTTTTGCTCTGATCAGTCTGATCGACCAGCTCGACGGACTGCTGTACTCGTTTCGTATTTCAAGTTGTAATAAAATAAAAGCAAATCGTCAAACCCAAAACCGTGTTTCATCTGTCAAATATGCAATTATCCTTCCCGGAGTTAATAACCATCGTGAAATTGCCGTCTCATTGTCGTTGACGCCAAAATTTTAATGTATACAGATAATAGCCATTAAATTACTAATATTGGAATCTACTAATTGCTGCCACTCGTTAGCCGGTCGGCTCACTGTATCAGTTTACATTACGCTAAATACAAACGGATACAACGAGCTTAGGGGCTGACAGCAATTAATAGCTCTTCCAATATTAACAATAGGATGACTTATCTGAATATTTTAAAACCAATGCACTCTATCTAAAATATGAATAACCAATTTAAATTGTAATGTACACAACAAATAACAGAGAGCAAAGACAACACGTCGTGTCACTTCAAATTTCCAAAACTCCTTTTGAACGTTATCCTTATCAAACGCTGTACGAAGCGGGAAACCGAATCCTTACAACAACATTATCTGAAGATGGCAACGATTGTGCCTATGGCATCACACATCAGCTCTTACCAATAATTGGCAATTAACCGTATCGCCCCTTCTTATCGTTTTACGACGATTTCATCGGGATTACTTCAAAACTTTCGCTTTTTCCCGTATGTTCTTCGTTTCTCTTTCCGAAATTGTTCCACTTGCGTTTGTGCTCCATTTTGGTAGTTCGTTTCTTTTAAAATCCGCTGTTGTGCGGTTTTCACTCGAAATGAATCGCGATCGCGTCCAATTCTCCACGCGGCCGTCTGACGTTAGAGCTTTTTTCGTTTTTTTTCCACCTGTTTCTTCTTTAGGAGCACCACCAGTGCTCTATGCAATTGTCTTATTTCTTATTAAACCCGTTGATGAAATCGAACCGTAAATCGTGTTTACGAACCGAACCGAATCTGTCATATTCGTAGAGGAGCCTTACATATTATACTGATAATATACCTACTGTTTATTTTTTTTCATTCAATAGATATTGCTTTATATTATTTTACATAAATTGTTTTGTCCTTGGTAGCCAAACCTTCTGGTGATTAGTTATTAAATTAAACACATAAATGCTGCAACTATATGTAATTAGTTAGAAGAGAACTGTTCATCGACGGTGTTATGAACATCAGTATGTAGGTACTAATACTGTGAGTAGCCTATATTGGTGGTTAAATTTTTAATTATTTAGTGCACCTAATTAAACACATACATTCTGCAACTATGTAACGTGATATAAATACAGAACTGCCCATCATTGCCATTCTGAATATTATTTATTTAATAGTGCATACAAATTATATAAGTATTATCAGAATGAAATTAAATTAATAAGCAATTTCAATGAGGTTTAATTTAAATAATTTAATCTAACATGCATAATAATAATAAATAAAAGACAGTGTACTAAAGACTAAACTGACCATTAATGTAATGAAATAATATTGAATTTTTTTAATTAATATACCCTACATTTATTGAATACATATTCAATAAATAAGTTTTAAATATTATACTATCAATAATCCATAGTTTATATAATACAAATATTAAACAAATGAATTCTGCAGCTATATAATACAATTTAGCTACATCGACAGTTTAGTCCATATTGATAATTAAACACAAATAATTCTGCAACTATGTATTGTGATATAGGTACGGAACAGTTCATCAGTGGCCATATGAATGTAATTTATTAAATAAATCACACAAATGTCAATGATGTACACAGCTATTTGTTTTCACATAAACTGTCCATTATAATACACATATAACAAATTAAATACAATTCTGTGGTTAGATTTAAATAAATTTACTCAAAAATACAAAATAATAAATAAAAGACGATATTTTAACCTGACCATTAATGCTTAATGTTATGATATAATATTGGATTTCACAATTAATACACTCTAAATTGAATGAGTAACGTTAAATTGTATATTGCTAATATATTCATGTACCTTTATCTTAATTTTATAGTTACTCATATATATATATTCAATAAATGAACTATTTATTTGATGCAGAACCATATAATATTTTATTATGCATAATGCATAATGTGTACCTATGCAATACAAATATTTTAATTTTTTTACAACAACAGAAATTGCAATGTATTTGCATTCAATAGCATGATATTTGCATCTATTTTGTTAACTATATGCAATAATAATAATAATGGCCATATCCTACGGATTTCATCGGTTAAGCAATGTTTAATGCCAACGGCCTAAATGCTCAAATTATTCTACAAAATTATGATAGAGCAATCTAAATGTCACAAAATATTTTAAAAATTATAACTTAGCACTTAGAACACCTAAAATAGATCTCATTAGAACAATTAAATTATACTATTCTATATGACAATATCATAACCTAAAAATCATGGGCCAAATCCAAGAACCGAAATAAAAACAATACATAAACAAAATTCAAAAATCTAAATACCCATAAGGCCATATGAATTAGAATCTTATCTCTAGTATATTTTAGTGCCTAAATATATTCTAACATTCCCTATTCATTTCAAATGTAATTGATTATCTGTGAAATTAACTTATAAAAGTGTTGAATAATTAATAAATATGATTACCTAGTTAGTCATTACTCAATGTTTGTAATAAAATTTATTTTATTTTCTCTTTTTTGTTTTTGTGGTCCCTTGTTAATGAATATAATTGACTTATTGGTGAACTTAATATAATTAGTCCTTATAGTCTAGTTTTCCCCTATTTTTGTCATTTTATATCTGAGAAAAATGTAATTGATTTTATTAAAAATTTACTTCTAAAAATGTCAAATGACTGATGTAATTAAATAATAAATGTTTGTGATTAATGTAGGTACTATAGTTTTTTGTATTTTATATTATAAATGTGTCAAATTGACTTATAATGAATTTTTTATAATTAGTTCTTATAATCTAGTTTCCTATTTTGGAATTTTGAAATGTTTTATATTAGATAAAAGAATGTATTTAATTTTATGTTAATTTGTGCAAATGTCAAGTGACTAATATATTTAAATGCTCAATGCTTTGGATTAGGTTGTTTTTTTTAACATACCTTTACATCTTTGTTTTTTTTTCTCTTAATCATAATCATAATTGTAATTTTGTTTTATTTTTCTGTCATATATGTCATTGTAACTATTGTAATTATTCAATTTGCAAAATATTTTTGAAATGGCTTCCAACCAGTATACTTTTTTTAAATAAATAAACCTTTTAAGGCTTAAAGTGGTCCATTTAGGACCTTCGCTGCTCCCAACACGCTCTTTCACCTTTTCCTATCCTACGCCACTTCCATTTTCAGCACTGGATTGATTTCCTTTAAGGTTTTCTTAACTGTATCGTGCCGTCAATGCCAGGGTCTACCTCTTGGTCTTTTTCCCGTTAAATTGTTTTCAGTGGCTTTCTTAATGAGTCATCCCTCTGCTCGCCAAACGTGTCCTGCCCATTCTAGCCTTTTTTGGTTAAGAAATTTCGTAGATTTGTTTATTGTACAGCTGTTACAGGTTTTCATTTGTTCTTCTTTGGAAACTTTCCAAGTCACTGTTATGCACCATTCCATATACTTTCCTGAGTATTTTCCTCTGTAAACTTTGTAGTTTCTCTTCATCTCCTTGAGTGCTAGACGACTTCTAGCACGTGTTCGTTACAATGAGTCTCAAATACGTACAGTATAGGTTTTCCTTTGTACGTCTGGAGAGTAGCTTAGAGGAAAACATTTCTTTCATTGTAAAGTAACATCTTTTTGCCTTATTCAGTCTCATCCTAATTTCATTGTGCATATTGTTCTTTTCGTTTATGTTAACTCCCATGTACTTGAAGTCCTCAATCTGCTCGAAAGTAAGTCTTTCAGTGTATAAATTATCCTTTACAGTTGCGTTCCTAGTCATCTTCATATATTATTCGTCTTGTTTTTGTTTATTACAAGTCTCATATTGCAGCTAGATTGTATTGGCTTTCTTGCACTCTCTTCTACATCGTTTTTGAATTCTATTAGAATGATATCATATGCATAATCGAACAAGGTATGAGGTTCTATTATTTCCATTTTATTGAGGTCTATTATATCTTTCACCACCTTTTCCAGCTCATCACCTCCTCTCAAGCCATTCATGTATTCAAATATCGATGATAGTTCTCTTAAGAAATGTACTCTACAGCAAGTTTGTTTATTACACATCTGGATTAATTTCACTAATTTATGGGGTATGCAAAAGTTTCTTAGGGTTGTCCACAGTTGTTCATGGTTGATGCTACCTATGCCTGTTTTAAGTAAACAAAAAGCATATAAAGGTCCTTGTTATACTCGTAGTACTTTTCCATGAGTTTCCTTATTGTATAGATGCGATCTGCCGTAGACTTTCCTTTTTAAACGCCACACTAGTACTCTCCAACTATGTTTACTGCTAATATTTCAAGTCTCTTCAAGACAGCTTTTGATAACACTTTGTATGCAGTGTCCAATAGTGAGAGTCCACGATAATTTGTAACCTTCTTCATAGCTCATTTTTGGAAAATTGGACAAATAATCCCTAAATTCAAATCTTTAGGCATACATTCTTTGTTCCATATAATTATTCCATTG